AGTTCTGAGTCGGAGTATTTGAGAAATGAAAATTGCGTAAAATTCCTATAATGTTACACGATTGGGGTAACACGTAAAGTCAGCTGACTCCAAAGTGGCTCAAAATTACTTTTTAATATGCTCTTTCATATAAGAAAAGCATTGGGGAAGTGGGACCTTAATTTAGCAGCATTTTGGCATTTTGAAATTTTTCAACCTTAAATTGCGCTAAAATGGGTGAAAATGGTTTTTTGTTATTTTCTCCCAAACTATTGGTCCGATTGCAAAAATATTTTACAGGGAGTCTCTCCTAGTGAGGGCCTCTTGATGAAAAAATTGGGAGGCCAAAACTCCACATTGACCCGGAAAGTTGATTTGGTTTGAGAAAGAATGCATCTCCCCGCAACACCGGAACACGGCGCAATGCATTTCAATCCGCATGTTTTCCTCTCAGGTTGCCTTAAAAGTTTTGCCGTGTTTTGGCGGCGTGTCCGAGCCGCCCCCGCGCGCTGCCCGCCACCCGAAATGGATGATCCTTGTTCGTCGTGAGGGAAGGCAAGGGAAGGGCATGAGAAAGGAAAGGGGAAGGGCCGGGCCGCGCGGACTGCGGACGCGTCCACCGGCCGGGCGTATTTTTGGGTTGGGATGGGACTCCCTTCCGAACCGCGCTGTCCCTGTCGCTCGCGCGTCGCGCGTTTTGACGACGGCCCTAAACCGCGGCACCGCGGCCGCGTCGCCGTGTTTATCAAGTTGGCCGCGCCGTCACTTGCCTCTGATTCCGAGAGTCGCTCTGTCTCTCTCGCACCTGCACGGGACGCCCCGTGAGTGCGAGAGAGACAGACCGACGATAACGACTCTCGGTCCCGGCTGGGGCTCGCTGCGTCGGGGATTTCGCGTTTCGCGCGCCAGAGGAGTGCCGATATCGGCGTCCTCCCAGGTCCGCCCTGCACTGCCCTGCGTCGCTCGAACCACTCGCCTGACGACGACGCATCATCGACTGTCAGCACGCACGCACGGGTCCCGCATGCCGGCTCTCAGTCCACAACGGAACGGAAGTCTGGAGCCGGTTTGTAAGTTTCGCAGCCACGTGGTTGCACAGCCAGCGTTTCATCTCTCTCGTCGGTACGGTACTGTTGAGGGACAACTTCAAAAGTCGCGCGCCGCGACCCGACCCGGCTCACGGCCACCTAGACGAGCGGGTTCGCGGCGCGACGATTGATGCAGCAGTAGCACCGCCCGGCGGGCCCTTCGCGGCCCGCTCCGCGAGCCGCGGGGCCCTCCAGCGAGAGCGACACCTCGGCCTCGGGGCAGTCGTAGGGAAGCTAGAATCGTGTAAAGGTGCGTGTGAGGCCAAATCAATCAGTCCAAAGAATATACTCAAAGTCCAATCCAGTGTGAGTGTTCCACTTAATCCAAACCCTCTCGATCAGTAAGAAACCCGGAAAATAGGGAATCTCAACAGTACGCGCCATGAGTGCGAGAGAGGCAGGGCGGCAAGGCGGAGGCGCAAGGTGAAGGGCGGTGCAGGGGGCGCGGTGTCTCCCGAAAGCCGGCGGTGCTCGCGGTCCTCCTGTGGCCTGTCGCGGTGGCCGCCGCTGCCGCCAGGGGGCGCGCCGCGGTGACGCGAGGGGCGCGGCGATACCCCCCGGCGATACCCCCGGCCGAGGGTGCCGGCCGCGCGACGATACCCCGCGCCGCCACGTGGGTCGCACATCGGACATCGCCGGCAGCCGACCAGTGGACGCAGAGGGGCGGAAAAAGGCTAGCGGCCGCCACCGTCTTGAGTGGTGTACGTTCTTGGTGCGCGTGGATGGCTTGACTTCGCCGCCCTCCCCTCGCCTAAACGCAACCTCATGCAGTGCACAAAAATGTCGTGCCACCACAATAAGTGTAGCGCCTTGCGGTGTTGTCGGGCGGCGTGTGGGGCGTGCTCCCCCTCCCCCCGGGACCGACCCCTTCCCCCCGGCTTCGCTTATTAATGCGGGCCGAGAATAGAGGCTGGCTCGCGTTAATCGGTCCCCCCCCCCCCCACTCTCCCGCCGCACCTTGGCGGCCGCGGCTATCTCTCTACTTTCCCAGTTCCCTTACCTTCGGGCCTGCGGGCTTGCTGCGGGCCGCGGGCCTTCGGAGCGGTGCGCGCCGCGATGCGTCACGCCCGCGCGCCCGCGTCTGTCGCCTGACAGTGGGGCGGGGCGGGGCGGGGCGGGGCGGGGCGGGGCGGGGCGGGGTCTATAACGGCGACGTTAACCGCCGGAGGGAGGGCGGCCACGGCGACAGGCTAGACAAGTTGGTTGTTTGGATGGGTCGAGCACTCCCAGGGGACGCTGGCCGCGGAGAAGTCCCCCCTCCCCCTGGCCGTCTTGTCGCGTTTCTTTCATGTGGATGATGGCCATGATGGCGGAGCGCGGAGCGCGCGGTGCGACTCGCGTTATGCCGCGCGGCCAAAGGCGCCAAAGGCCTTGCCAAAGGCACACGGCGAGTGGCCATTCCGCGGCGGAGGGGGGAGAGAGACAGAGAGAGGGGGAAAGAGAGAAAGAGAGTGTCGCGATGATGGAGATGGCAGGGTGGCACACAGAAAACTGGCGACCAGCGGTCTGCTGCTGGGCGGAGCCGGGCGGAGTCTGCGTGACAGGGCTGCCCGATGGTGGCGGCGGTGGCGGCAGCGCAGTCTCGCCCGCGGTCCTGACACGGCTGTGACACGCACGGCAATCTTGTTGGCAGCGGGGATGCAGCCCCGCTGCAGCAGACAGTCCCGGGGGAGTGGGATGCATCGAGAGTCTTCCTGCTCCCGTGATGCCGCGACGCACGACGCACATTGAGAGTGAAAGGTTGAAAAACGACGTGTACCGTAGTTTCTGGCAGTGCAGTCTCTCGGCCCCTTTGCCGCTGGCGGCGCACGGTGCGGACAACGCAAGTAACGGAGGCCCGATTGAATGCTACCCGAGTCGAGAACCGCGTAAAGCGTAAAGCAGGCAACAGGTCGTTTGCAATGCTCCGCACGAGAGGCGCTGAAAGCGGCGGAGGCGTGGCGCCGAGGCGGCGCGGCGGACGGTGGGCGGGGCGGGGCGGCACCCCTGTGGGGGTTCATACTCTACAATGTAGTGGAAGGCGAGAGGCGCGCCGGGCCTGGCCGGGCCGGGAGGGAAGCACGCTGAGTGACTTATGGAAGCGTGGCGAAGCGGCCGAGAAGTGCCGCTCGCTGCAGTCACGGGGTATCGACGCGGTGGCAGCGCGGCGGCGCGGGGACTGGCGTCGTCGCCGTGCCAAGCCGCCAAGCCGCCCCCTCCACGCGCCAGGGCCACCTCGCCGTCGCCTTGCGGCAGGCTTGCGTTCAGGTCGCTGGACGGCCAGAGGCTCAAACTAGCAGAACCGCGAGCCAATCCCGAGAGCCGTTTCCATCGCTCTGTCTCTCTCGCACCTATACGCGACGATCCACGAGTGCGAGAGAGACAGCGACTCTCGGAATCAGTCAGCGGGGCACTACTCCCCGAGCGAGTGGCCGCCCCGGGACGCCGACACGGAGCAGCGGGGCCGCGGCCCTACGGCACCACGTCGGCCCGGCCGGCCCGCTGTAAACAACACCTGCAAACGCTCATTCCCGGTTTATGAAGGAATGCCCCGGGGCCGCCGGCCCGGGCAGCACTTCGTCTCGCTTCCCGAGGGGCCGACTGGCCGGTCGGCCGGCCGCCCTGGCGTGGGCCGCCAGCGCCAGCACCGTGCCGCCAGCACCAGGCCGCCGGCGCATCCCTGTCCGTTTGTGCGATCGGTCGTTGAACTTGCCGCCGGCTTTGTTTAGCGCGCGGCCCCGTTGCAGCACACGGCGCCGCTCCGCCGCGCTGCACCGCGCTCCGCACGCAGCCGGTCCAGGCCGTCCAGGCGCCGCTCCTCTCCAGCTCGGGCCGGCGGGAAGGGCGGCCAGGGCGCAGGGCGAGCCGGTTTCTCAACTTGCATTTCTGGGCGCAACCTAAAATAAGCGGCAGGCCTTTTGCCAAGAACGCGCGCAAGGGCCTGGCGGCCTGGCGGGGGGTGGTGCACTGGTGCAGGCGAGGCGGGGCCGACAAGAACAATAGGGAGATAAGACACAAGGCCAGGTGGTACAGCGTCCAGGCCGTCCCGCGGTGCGAGCCAGCGCACGACCACCGCGGCGGTGTGAGTAAACACGCGAGGAATGCCGGGCGGTGGAACGCCCCCCGTTCAGGTGTGCTCCCCCGTCAGCGTGGACGCCGCCACCGCCACCGCCGTCTTCACCGGCGCCCCTCCACTCCCCTGCCCCCTCGCGCCGCCCTATTCCCGACCAATGAATCAGAGAGTGTTATATTTTGGTCGGACGGCTGCCCGTCGGAATATCGCCCTTCGGATGGAGGCGTCTGAGGAGACAGCCCACTCCTCGCAGTGACGAGATCGGTCTGGCCGGCGCGCTGCCATTGGCTGGCGCTGCTGCCCAATGGCGGGCCGCGCTTCAAACGGAGTCGTGGCCGTTGAGACGAGACGGCGGCGTCCCTGACGGCCTCGGACACGAGGTGCGCGCTCCGGTCGAACCGTCCCGCTGCATTTTGACTTGAGGCCGGCGTGCGGCGGATGCGACTGCGTTACCGAGGACAAATCCGAGTTGCTTTGTGGCCAGCCCCTTGAGGGACGCCGAGGACGCCGAGCCCAGGGCCCTGAGTGGCCCCGAAGTGGGGCCCCGAAGTGGGGCCCCGCGCTGGGCCTGGGACCCGCGGTGGGCCCGCACTCACTCATTGGCACTCGGGGGGGCTTTGCCAAGGGCTTGCCGCGGCTTGCCGTGCAGCCTGGCACACCACCAACTACTCCCTCCCCTCCCCTCCCCTCCCTACATTCTCTCCCACGACCTGCCTCGCCCCGACGCGCCGCGCCCTCTGTGTTGCCCGGGGCGGACAGCAGGACAACTACTGGATTTCTCGCGCCGCCTATTTTCCGTTTTTAGGCTCCGAGCGTGTGGATGTGCGTGCGAAGAACAAAAACAATACGTGCTGTTGACCAATCCTTTCGTTTGTTTGCAGGTACAACAGCTGTGGGGCCTGCGGGGAACCGCCTAGCGACATGGTAAATTCGGAACGCGTGTCTGCAATTCAATTTCACTGCCAGCATCACGCTCTGACGATGTATCAGAATATCAGAATTTATTCCTGCATTCTCGGTCCTGCCGCCGTCGTTGTTGCTGTTGTTGCTGTTGCTGTTGTTGTTGCTGAGGCCACTGCGCGTGCTGCGACTGCGCGCCGAACGCCTTGATGGCTGGCAACGAAGAGACACGCCTGTGCGGCGGGCTGGCCTACCCGGCCCGCTCCAGGGGCTCTCCAGGCAACACAGCGACCGCGCCAAGAGCGGCCTCCGCCACTGCGAAGCCGTCAGCGCCGTCGCCCCCGCAAAGAAAAAGAAGAAGATGCAGAAGATAAAGGGCGTCAGTCTGTCTCTCTCGCACTCACGGCGCGTCCCGTGCAGGTGCGATAGAGACAGAGCGTCGCCCTGCAGGCCGGGCCGGCCGCTCCCTCGGACCGCGCGAGGCGCGAGCGAGCGAGGGGCTAGGCCGGGCAGGCCGGGCAGGCCGGGCGCCGAAGCGAGCCGGCCGAGCCGCCCGGTGGACCCCGTGGGTGGACAGAGCCGGACGAGGGGCCGGCGTGAGAGGCACGGGCGTGAGCGGCACGGGCGTGCGCGTCGTGTCTTGGGCTGAGGCCGGCAGCGGCCGCCCGGCCCGCCGTCCGCGAGCAGCATGCCGGGGTGTGGCCGAAGCGCGTGCAGTGTTTTGTGGTGAAAAGAACGCCCCGCAGGAGGGATGTTATTGTGCAAGAAACTAGTGCAGTGAAAGTGATCCAAGCAGTGTTGTGTCGTGTCGCCCTGTGGGCTCAGTTCACCCAGCGCAGCGGCTCACCAAACGGATACCCTCATCGACCTCAGCAGCACCAGTGGCAAGACGCGCGAGACACACCTCCCGGGAACAGCCGGCGAGGCACTCAGCGATGAGACACCGGTCGGTGGACGCTCTGAAAACAGCCGAAGCGCAGCCAGACTCTGTCGTGGCGTGACGGTCTGGCTTTGCTTCGGTCGCCCCCCACTGCATGCACCTCTCAGTGAACGCCTCGGCAGCGGGCCGCGCGAGCTCGACAAAGTTTGACGGGATGGGCTTTCGATGGTGCACCGCACCGACCGTCCATCCGTCCGTTGGCAGTGCAGTGGCGTGCATGCGGCGCAGTGCGGCGCAGCGGTGTCCGGCCTGTTTGTTTTCGAGTGCGGGTGGAGTACACTCGCGGTACCCACACCGCACCCGCGGGCCGCACCGCACCGCACGCACCCGCCCATTTCAGGTCGCGTTGCGCCGCGGCCCCGCCACGGGGCTAAAAAAAAGTGTGGCAAATGTTTATTTTTCTGGGCGCGAGTTCGGGGCGGCGAAACAGCGGAGCGGCCGAGTAGTGTGCGTGACGATTTACGGCCGGTCCCCGCGCGTCCCCGCTCGCCGTTGTGTGGTGGACGCCGCGAACGCCGCGAACGCCGCGAAGTCGAGCACCCCGCCGTCGCCGTCCTCCCCGCCCCGCCTTTCGATACACTTCCGAGAACTTTGTAAACAGTAAACACTCCTCGCTGGCGTCGCTGGCGTCCGAGCGACGCGGCGGTTTTCCACGCGGAGGGTGGCGCTTTCCTCTCAGAATGATCTGCGAGGAAACGGGAAGGCGGAGCGAGGTGGCCGTCGGTCGCGGATGCCAACGATAACAAGCCGCAGACAGCGCCGCGCCGCCGGGGGTTTTAGCAGCCGAATCAGTCTTCTTCCTTTTTTTTCCGCCATCGCCGCACCGATTCCTCCAACTCCGCGGCCGCGATGGAAGAGGGGAAAGGGGAAAATATCAGGAGAGCTCCTCGTCCGTGGCCTTGTTGGCCTTGTCGGCGTTGAGGCCGCACAGAGACAGCACTAAAGTCGGCGGAAGACTTCAAGTGCACGCGGCCGCGTGGCCGGCGCGTGGCGGCGAGCATCGGGGAGCATAGGGGAGCGTGCACAAACAAAGCGACGCGCCATTTTGTTTGTATCAATTCCCCTGAAAATTTGCAGAGAGGCGGTGGCGCGTCGGGGCGCGGTGGTGGTGGCGCTCGCCGTGGCGCCAGGCACCTGGTTCCTCTCCGCTCGGTCAGCCGCCCCGCCCCGCCCCGCCGCACCCCTCGGCCTACCTCCCGGTCGCGGAGATGTACGCCGTGATAACATTCTGGGGCGACCGGGGCGACAAAGGCCGGGTCGCGGCCTAAAAATAAAAATAAGGCGCCGAGGCGGCCTCCGCCGGCAGCCGGCGCGCTCCTACTGGACATGTCGGAGTCCGCGCTGCCGGCGGGCCGTGGCGGCGATGGCGCGCGACGCGGCGCGACGCGGCGCCCTGGCGCGACGTGGCGACAGGCAAATTTCAGCGCCGCGCCGCATTTATTGTTGCAAGGGATTTGTACCTGTCAGCGTGCCACCTCACGGTGCCACCGCGGTGCCACCGCGCCAGGGGTGCACGGCCAAAAACGGGGCCGCGCGCCGCGCGCTCGGAACGAAGGCAAAATCAAGCGCATCGGGATCCGGACCTCCAACACGGCCTCGTGGCACCATGCGTGAAACGACGTGCGTTACGTAGCGTTTCGTACGGTTTCGTAATTAATTTTATTGAAGCGTGCGGGGGTGGGAGCGAGGCGCCGGGGATGCCGTGCTGGCGGCATGGTGGCGGCGCGGCCCGCGGGCATCTTGGCGGCGAGGGCCCGAGCCGCGGGCCGCGGGCCGGACAGTGAGGTCTACGAACACCTGTGCGGCCACGCCACGTAGTCCGTCTGCTGCCAGGAGCCGACATTCTTCGCGGAGCCTGGCCGAGCCCCCACGCCCGTGTTTTTCTCGCTGCAAATTGCAACGGGGAAAAGAGGTGGAAATGTACTGCGGGCAAGCGCTGCGGCAGCGGGCTATGCCGCCACCTGCACGTGAACAATGATGCCGTCATTGACTCGGGGCGTGGGTCGCGGGATCTACTCCCGCCTGGCGCCGCCGGTTTTCTGGTCGGGACGGGCGCGCACGTGCGGCGGGCGCGCACCTCTAGCCGTGGCATTGCGGCCGCTGGCCGGGCTGGCCGGGCGTGGCGGAGGCCGCGTAGGCCCCGCGGGCCGTCACACCTGCCAGACTCGGCGCCCCGCGCCCCACGCCGACCGGCCGACCGCTCGCTAGTTTTAAATCGCGTTGGTGTCGAAAAAATTTCAAGCGTAACGTGCGGCGCCTGCGAGAGAGAGAGGGAGAGCGAGAAAGAGAGCGAGGAAGGGCGAGTGAGAGGAAGGGAGAGAGAAAGAGAGACGGGCCGGCCGGCCGGGCCGTCCAATCTGGTCGCCGTTTTATTCAAAGTGGCCGCCAAGTTGGGTCGAGTGTGGGACGTTCGTTAAAATTAAGTGACGAAAATAAAAACACAAGGGGGTAAACAACCCCGGCGTGCGTCCTGCCGCTTTAGGCTTTAGGGAAAAGGCGGTCTCGGGCATCGTGGCCGCCAGCGCCCCGCGGCCCCGCGGCCCCGCGGCCCCGCCACTGTGCGACCACACTGTGCGTCTTTCGCCACTCGCCGAATACATAAGCAAGGCGCCCTGTTCGAGGCGGGGAGGAGGGAAGGGGGCGGGGAGGGGCGCGTGTGGCGCTACAAGACACGCCTGACACGGAGACACGCCGGGACAAGACGCTTTTAACGGGGCCGCGCGGGCGACGCTGGCGGCGGGGCGGCGGGGCGGCGGGGCGGTGGCGATAGGCGCAGGCAGGCCGCGTATTTTACCCCCGACGATCTGAACAGGACAGTGGCGTTGACGTGGAAACTTTCATAGATTTTCCCGGCCGGTATTTTCGAACATTTTATAATTTTTTCTGCGTGTGTGTGTGTGTGTGTGTGTGTGCGCGCGCGCGTGTTAGTGTGTGTATGTGTGTGAGTGTTTCGTGTTTCCGGATTGGGCCGCAGCCGGATGCAGCAGATGACACGTCGTCATCGCGCAGCCGCCGCGCCCTCGCTGCGCCGCACCGCCGTGACGGCCCATACGTCACGTGACGTGTCACGGCGTCGCGGCGTCGCGTGTCACACCATATCTAATTCGGCGTGGCGGTGCGTGGCGCCCGCGCTATTCGTGGCGAGGATTTGAGGATTCGCACCGGCCGGCTAAGGTGCACCGCGAGGCACCGCGAGCGTCGCGGACTGCACCGCATCCACCACGCCACTGTCGGGAAAAAAACAGAAACTTTTAAAACCTTTCTCGGCTCGCGACCCCAAATTTGTAGCCAAAAATTTCCGCGACCCCCAGGAAAAGTTTCGCGACCCCACGGGACCCCTTCTTTAGCATGCCACTGCGTCTGATCCGAGGCGGGCATTTTGCTCCCTCAACGGGCAATTGGTCTTTGGACTTTCCTTTAGCATGCCTCTGTTACGGAGTGCGATTATCAGTCTTAGTTTGGGGGCAGTATTGTCTCAAAGTTGGCCAAAACGCTCAGAAATGTCTTTGAAAAATCATGTTTTGGGTCGATTTTAAGCAGCCACTGCGTCTGATCCGAGCCGGGCATTTTGCTCCCTCAACGGGCAATTGTTCTTTGGACCTTCCTTTAGCATGCCTTTGTTACGGAGTGTGATTATCAGTCTTAGTTTGGGAGCAGTATTGTCTCAAAGTTGGCCGAAACGCTCAGAAATGTCTTTGAAAAATCATGTTTTGGGTCGATTTTAAGCAGCCACTGCGTCTGATCCGAGCCGGGCATTTTGCTCCCTCAACGGGCAATTGTTCTTTGGACCTTCCTTTAGCATGCCTCTGTTACGGAATGCGATTATCAGTCTTAGTTTGGGAGCAGTATTGTCTCAAAGTTGACCAAAACAGTCACAACGGTTTTTCAAAGACATTTCTGAGCGTTTCGGCCAACTTTGAGACAATACTGCTCCCAAACTAAGACTGATAATCACACTCCGTAACAAAGGCATGCTAAAGGAAGGTCCAAAGACCAATTGCCCGTTGAAGGAGGACGAAATACCGCCTCGGGTCAGACGCAGTGGCTGCTTAAAATCGGCCCAAAACACGATTTTTCAAAGACATTTCTGAGCGTTTCGACCAACTTTGAGACAATACTGCTCCCAAACTAAGACTGATAATCACACTCCGTAACAAAGGCATGCTAAAGGAAGGTTCAAAGACCAATTGCCGGTTGAGGGAGTAAAATGCCCGCCTCGGATCAGACGCAGTGGCTGCTTAAAATCGGCCCAAAACACGACCCCAGCTACCTCGCCGCGGCCCCTTAAAAATTTTTCGCGACCCCACTTGGGCGGCCCCATGGCTGCGGCGCTTACTATGTCGTGGCAATGCCATGTGCGGCACGACAAGCGAGCCATGAGGACCGGACCGGGCGGCACTCCGCTCCGCCGTTCCGTCTCGCCACATTCCTGCCCGCCCTGCCCCGCCCCGCCCCGCCCCGCCCCGCCCTGTCTGCTTGATTTGTGTCCCGCGCGGTCGTGGTAATGACCCATCATCCCCTAAATCTCACGGAACATGTGTGAGGGCAGCGCCATGGCAGCGCCCAACGGCCGAAGCGCGCGGGCCGAGCGAGGCAAGGCTCGGTCGGTGTGCACGAGTCGCGCATTATCGAAACGGTTTTACATTTCGCGGGGCAGCGGGCAGCGCGGAGCGCGGCGTGGCGTGGCCCACTCATTTCGCCTCGATTAAAATGAAGACGGCGGTGCGTGCAAGTGTGTGTGTTGGTGTGTGTGAGAGGGTGCGCTCGTGTGTCTCGAGTGTGTGGACCGAAATAGTGGCGGGGCCCTCCCCTCCCCTCCGCCTCTGGGTCTCTGGGTTCGGCTGAGCGGCCGAATGGCCGAATCGAGCTGACAATCTCCACCACCCGCCTCACCCCCGCGGTGATAAGCGCAGGTGAGGCCGCGCTGCCTCCTCCAGGACGCGTGTTGCCGCGTCCCTTGGCGCGTCCCTTCGCGTCCCTGCGCGCCGCCCCGGCCGGATTCGCGCTCTTGCCTCCGCCTTGGCACTTTGGCGCTTTGGCGCGCGGCGATGATACACTCGTGCGAGTCGCGAGACGGGCAGGGGCGGGCCGGGGAGGAGGTGATAACAAGTCGCCAGTGTTCCACCCAAGCCAACCGTGAGAGCCCTCTCCCCCTCCCCCTCCCCTTCCCCCGACTTCTCTCAAGGCGCCCGCTGCTTTTGTTCCCGCCTACTTCAGTCTGCTTCAGTCGTCAAGGGGGGTATGCAAAAATAGCGGTCCGGCCGTCCGGCATGGGTGGCGTGGAGGGGCGGGGCAAGGCGTCCAAATTCCTTACCGGCATCTTCGAGTTTCCTTCCTGCATCGGATGACGTCATCGAGCGTCGTGTCGCGTTTCGCTAAGTCGAAGAAAGCAGCGTCGAGTGCTCGCTGCTTGCGCCTTGCAATGCCGAGAGTGTTCACTGAGAGGAACTCGCCTTGTTTTTCCCTCCGGTAGGCCTGACCCTTGGTGTGTCTCTGCTTGTCAGCATGTCAGCGCCACCTGCGTCCTGGCCGCAGCGGCCGCAGGGACCGGGCCGGCACCGCCGGCAGCGCGACCAAGAAGGGGACCTCCAGCGCCTCCAGCAAGGGCCTCGGTGGCACGGCCACGACGGCGTCCTCCCAGCACCGCCATCGGGCTCGCGGCCGCGCCCACACGCTCGGTGAACGGGCGCCATGGCGGAGCAGCACCCGCTGCAGCACAGCAACACCAGGACTAGGGTGGCCTGCGCCGCGAGCTCGGCCAGCAGCACCTCCTCGGCGTCGCAGTCGCACCAGACGCACGCGGCGCAGGACGGCGAGCCCGGCACCAGCAGCAGCGCCGCCGCCAGCAGCGCGGCCGCCACCCGGAGCAGGCGCGGCACCACCGTCACCCCGCCCGCCACGTCCTCCCTGCTCGCCGCCAAGCTCAAGATCCAGTCGGCCGTGAACCGCGCGCACACACGAGAGCGCGACCGCGAGCACAGCGCGCGCGCCGCCCTGCTCAGGGGGCAGAAGGCCACGACGGGCAAGCAGGCGACCTCCTCGTCGGGCGCTTCCCCCACGCGGGGGGCGCGCCGCGAATCCCTGGTGCGCGTCGACTCGAAGCGCGGCAAGAAGCCCCGCGAGCGATGGCTGCTGACGCGCAAGACATGGCGCTACATGGCGGACGCGGGCCGGCGCCTCATCCCGGACGGCGCGCACAACCGCGCCGAGGACGTGCCGCGCATCGAGGCCTACTTCCAGGAGGTGTGCCACCGCGAGCCGCGCTTCCTGCTCTGGCGCAAGAGCTCCTACCCCGGCGCGCTGGGCTTCCGGCCGCGGGGGCGGTCGCGCGCGGGTCGCAAGAAGGGCGGCTCGTGCCGCGACCCCCGCGACAAGTCCGGCATGGGCGCCGCCTCGGCCTCGGCCGACGAGGCGGACGAGGTGGCGGCGGCAGCGCGCGGCGGCGGCACCGTGTTCCTGCAGCCCGTGCTCGGCCCCGACGGCTCGGGCCGCTTTGACGTGCAGCGGGCGAAGAAGGAGTTCCTGGAGGCCGGCCCCGCCACCACGCGCCTCGACACCGGGGACGCCGCCTGGGACGCGTCCTGGGCGCAGCGGACGGCCAGGGACTCGTCCACCTCCGAAGACAGCCTGGACCCCGAGGACAAGCTCCTGCTCGACACGCTGGAGATGTACCTCGCCAGGGACGAGGCCGCGCGCCGCGGCGACGGACCGCCCCCCACTCCGCCCCCGGGCGCGGTCCTGGACGAGCAGGAGCTGCTGGACAAGCTCCGGCTGCGGCTGGAGAGCGTTCTCGGCAGGGACCACGCCGACGCGGCGGCCTACCCGGACGAGGACGCCGTGCCGCACTCGCGGAACTCTCGCCGCTCGGAGGGCGTGCCGGGGGTACCCTTCAACGGGGACCACGTGCAGAAGCAGCTGCTGGAGACGCTGCGCCGGTACTACGGCAAGTCCACCGCCAGGCAGAAGGTCATCTCGGACCTCTTGACGGAGCGCAAGCTGCTGGAGCGACTCCTCTTCGACACGAGAAGGGCCCGCGGCTTCGCTTACCGCCGAGGGGGCGGCAGCGGCGCCGCGGGGACGACGCAGCCCTACGTGAGCTCCATGAGCCGCACGGACCCCCGCTGGAGGCAGCAAGCGGCGCAGCGCGGGGGCCGCGACGCGTCCGGCGGCGGCTACGACACCCCGACGGGGCCGGTCGGCGCGGGCCCCGGCTTCAACAGGGTGTCGCTGCGGCGCCTCAGGGGCGCCACCTCGCCGCCCCCGCTCATCGAGGTGCACCCCGAGGGCGAGGACGGCGACGAGGAGGACGGCGCCAAGGCCGCGCGCTCCAGGCCAGCGCGGCCGGCGCGGGCGCAGCGCGGGACGCAGACGGACCCGCTGACCACAGCCATCCTGGCCGCCGTGGACGAGGAGCGCAAGCGGCGCGCGCAGGAGGAAGCTGACGAGGACGGCGATGGCCCGTCGGCCAGGCCCCGCGGCGCCGGGGCCAACCGACGGCGCTCCAGCGTGGACAACGACGACGTGTCGCCGTCCGTGAGCGACACCATCAAGCGGTACTTGCGCATGGCCAGGAAGAAGAGCATGGACGGCGACAAGGCGGACCGCTTCAAGCGTGTCAACTACGACCGCAACCTGCGCAACATCAAGGCCAAGGGGGAGATCACGCTGCCGGGCGACGACGACGGCCTCAACAAGGGCGCGCAGACGGACGAGTCGTGGGTGAACGCCGTCAAGGAGCTCAAGTACGAGGGCACGGGCGTGGGCTCCAACCCCGACACGGATGAGTTCGCCACCACCAGCAGCCGCCTCACCAGCTCCAGGAGCAGCTTCGACACCACGACCACGGCCGGCGACGAGCTGGCCTCGCCGTCGCAGGCCTCGCCGGCCACGACCTCGGCCAGCAGCACGCCGCTGCAGTCACCAAAGAGCATCTTCTCCTCGGGGCAGTCGTTCCTGTCACACCTGCTTCACGGCCTTCACCAGCAGCAGCAGCTTCAGCAGCAACAACAGATGCAACAACAACAGCAACAACAGCAACATCCCGCCTACGGGCGGCAGGGCTCGACCAGCCCCAAAGAGGGCAGTGCTCAGCAAGGGGTTGCCGTGTCCGCAGGGGCGATGCAGAAGTCCAAGTCCTCGTCCTCCGTGGTGCAGAGCCTGGAGAAGATCTGGAAGACGCGCTCCAAGAGCCACAGCCGGGCGTCGGGCAGCGCGTCGGGCGTGGGCCAGGGCGCCTCGCACGACACGGGGCCGCCGCCGTCCTGCTCGTGGACACCGCAGGTGAGTCCAGCCACCGAGACCGTTACACTTGCCGGTCGCCAGCTAGGCCACTCGAAACCGGCCACACCGTGAGTCAGACCAGTGTGATGGGCGGTAGAGAAACAGACCGGAGAAGTTCTCTTCAAGCCCCGTACCGCCGGTGCGACCGTTGCGCGTCACAGCGTCGCCCCTCGCGGCCCGCCTCCGATTTAGCGTCCGGACCCCTTAATTTCCGATCGGCCGTTCCGTCCGCTTCGCCGCGCTGCACCGCCATTGCCGCTATTGCTGCTATTGCTAGCATGGCCGCCACGCTGCCGCTATAATTACTCGCAGATTGCGAAAGCTGGCACGGGATGGCACGCGGCGCCACGCGGCGCCACGCGGAGCGCGGCCCCTCAATACGCTTATAAATACCGTGATAAGTGGCTTCCCGCGCCGCGCGCCTCGCGCCTCGCGCCGTGGGATTGCGGGCAGATGCAATTGTCGCGCCGCGCGGCCGCGGCCGCGGGACCATTCCGAACGGTGCTTTCGCCGCTCCGTCTCTCCCGCACACGTGGGGCGTCCCGAAGGCCTGAAGGCCCGAAGGGCGGCGACGGAGACAGAGGACCCCGTTCGTAATCAGCCCGCCGAGACAAGCGGCTATTAGCGTTACCGCTGATGGAGTGCGCCCGACGCCCGTGTCCGCCATGCCGGGCCATGCCGCCATCGCGTGGCCCTCGGCGGCGTCCTCAAAGTCCGGGAACGATCAAGACCCAGGCAGCGGCCTGGTGCCTGCATCGTCAGCAGAAAGGTCACGAACATCGCTTTTGTCAGTCTCTCTTGCCTTCATGGAGCGTTCCGTAAAGGTGCGAGAGAGACAGAGCGACGATGCGGCCGGACGGAATCAGTCTGCTGCAGCACGGCAGTGTCACGCCGCTGGTCATTGAGGCCCCGCGCGAGGCGCAGGGGACCGGGCGCACGCATCAACATGTGCCGCTGCCGCGCTGCGACGCGCTGCGTGCGTGCGGCTGGGGTTGAGAGCGGCAGGCGCGGCGGCGGCACGTTGTTGTGTGAGGCCCGGCGGCCCGGCGGCCCGGCGCGGCGCGGCGGCTCGACGCAGAGGGCCGGGTGCCGGGTCTGGCCCGCGGCAAGCCTATGGCGTCTATTCCTGTCGTCGCGTCGCGGCCACAGCGGTTATATAGCGCGCCAAATATAAGTTGACCCAGTCTGGCGGCGCGGTGGGTGCCCCAAGGTGCCGCGGAGTGTGCCCCCTGGTGACCCAAGACGGTGACCCGAAGGCCGGGCGGGTGGCCCGGGAGGGGCGCTATCACCAACCGCATGCCCGGCAATGTCGGTCGTCGTTTTCCTGACGTTCTGACTCCCCGTCGAACCCCACGGCCCACGGCCACACCCCCGCCATCATCATCCCGCGCCTCTAAACACACGCACTGGTGCACGGCGTGGCCGCGAGGGTCGCGAGAGGCAGCGGGACGCGTATGGCGCGCAGCTCGGCTCCGCCGTGGCTCGGCAGAACCCGAAGGACCTCCACCCACCGCCCGGCCCCTACCCCCCGGCTCGGCTCATAGAGACCTGTTGAGCGCAGCCAATGACGTCAGCACGGGGGGCGCGTCGGGGCGGGGTGGGGTGCGGCTGGGTGCGGCGGGGCGGGGCGGGGCGCGGCGGGGCGAGTGCACGACCCGCTTTCTTTCGCGTGGCTCGGCGTGGCCTCTCCTCTTGCCGCTCCTCGACTCCTCGCTCCTCGCTCGCCTTGAATGTGAGAATACACACATCTAAAAATAAGGTTAAGATTTTGCACACCTAAACACGTCCGGCAAAAGCACGCTGCATCTCGGCGTCCTCGTCCTCACTGCGCCCTGTCCCTTGGTCCCTTGTCCAGTGCGCTCACGGTCGCGGCGTCGGGGGGAAGCTTTTGTTCGCGACCACGCCATTTCCCGCAAGCACCGCGAATTCTTCAGCCACGCCACGCTAATTTTTAGCACCCCGCCGGCGGCCGCCTCCGTCTTTTAAACCCCTTTGTCTCGACAATCGGTTCGTGTTGAGGCTGTCGCGCAGTTTGTCAAGGTGCGCCATACCTCTCCGCCGACCCGCCGACCCGGCCGACGCGATCAATAGGGTATTTATAACGCTAGTGCCGCTGGTCCGCCACCCTGCGTTTCTATTCGCGCCTTGCTATCATTCACTCTGTCAATTGCCTTTCAGACCCTCTCCGAGCCCCTCTCCCTTCGCGCGCCGCGCCTCGGCGTCGTCATGGTGGCGTCCCTCACGGCCCATTCAAAGTTAGCCCCGCTGCGGAGAAAATAGCGTGGAGGGCGCCAGGTAGCGGCGCTTACGTCGACGGCGACCTCGGCGTCCTCCCCAACTCCATTGCGGTGCACCCCGGCCGGCCGGTGCGGTCCAGAAGCACGGCGACGGGCTTTAGGCGTGCTTTAGGCGGTGTTTTCCACTGGCCGCTCGCGCCGCGGCCGCGGCTACAGAGTGGCGCGTTCGTCCCGTCGGTCCTGACCCGCCGTTTTGGACCGCGTCCAACGGGGATAAGTACAGTGCCGTTCCAAGTGTTTTCGCGCCGCGAAGCCGAAGCCGAAGCCGCGAAGGCGTCGTGCCCGCCCGGGGGTACGAACGACTGCCGTCGGGTCGTCGGGTCTCTTGTTGTCGTTAACGTGCTTGCTGTCCCTCTGTCCGCAGGGCAACTGCACCTGGAGCAGCGGGTCGCGGCGAGTGCAGCTGGCCGAGTCGACGCCGTTGCTGCAGCTGAGCGAGGTGGAGCGGCAGGTGCTGCAGAAGGTGGCCCTCGCCAAGCTGCAGGCGCTCAACCTCGGCGTCGCCATCAGGGTGCCTTCCGGTCAGAGACAGTCAGAGACATGCAGTCAGAGACAATACGCAATCTCTCAGCACGTGGCGTGGCGGGGCGTGGCGGGGCGGGGCGGTGCATTGCGCTGCGTCGCTCTGCCAGCAGTGTGTGCGAATGCGTGTCGGGCCTGCAGAGAGCAGAGCAGTGCAGAGCCGCCACTCATTAGCCAGGCTTCATTCGACGACGTGCCTCGCCACGCAACGCGCCGCAAAGCGCCCAGTGGCCTAGAAATAAATGAAATGTCCCTTGTATTTTTAAATTTTTCTTTCAAAGTTCCGGGAGCTGTTGAGTTGAGGCCTTTGGCCGCTTGGCCGGGTGGTGCCCCATGTATGACTTGCTCGTGGATGTGTGTGTGCAGAGAAGGTGGTGGCGGAAGTGGCCGCCAAACCGAAGCGGCGCGCATACCTGCTCAAGAGGAAGGCGCTGACAACGGGGGTGGTGGACGGGCGCAAGGACTCGGACAAGGACAACCGTGAGTTCGGCGGCGGCCTTGGGCTGGACTGAGGCGACTGGCAACCCGCGCAGTGCCGGTAACGGTCTGTGTCTCTGCCCGCAGCGGCCTCCGGCCTGGTGTTCGGCCTGCCCTTGTCGCAGTGCATCGAGAACGAGAGGGGCGTGCGCGTGCCCAGCAACACGGCCCTGCAGGCCCGCCAGGGCACTGGAGGCAGCGGCCCGGGCCGGGGCTCCGGCCGCGCGTCCGGGGGGCTGGCGGGGCTGGCGGGGCTGGCGGGGCTGGCGAGCCGCGGCGGCGCGTCCAGGAGCTCCGCCGGGGCCGCGGATGACACGGGCAGCTCGGGCAGCGTGGAACTGAGACGGAAGTCGCACCACGGGTCCAGGGCCAGCTTCAGCTCCCTCGTGGAGGCTCCCCGCCACGACGATGTAGGTCGCCTTGTCGGTAGGAGGCGCGTTCTGGCGGCAGGTTTCTGTCCTTGCACTCAGCGTGCTCCTCGGTGCAGGCCGGGTCCGTGGAGGACCTGCTGGTCGGCGGCATACCCTCGGCGGGCAGCGTGCCGGGCCAGCTCAACTCGCTGTCGTCGGCGCCCTCCTCGACGGCCACCGACTTCCTCGACGACGAGCTGAGTGAGCTGCTGGCCGAGTCGAGCCGGATACCCTGGGTGCCTCACCTCGTGTCCACGTGCTTGCGGCACCTCACCAACCACGGCCTGCACACGCTCGGCATCTTCAGGGTATCCAGCTCCAAGAAAAGAGTTCGACAGGTGAGATGCGATGCAGGGCGGCAGTTTCGGGCACCAAAGACGTTTTTCCGCAGAGTGGACCACGGAAACCAGAGCACTGTTTTTGACGTGTTTTTCTTTGACGGCTGGATGCCTTCAGTTACGAGAGGAGTTCGACGGCGGCCAGGAGGCGTCGCTGGACGACGACCTGTGTCCGCACGACGTGGCCACCCTCCTCAAGGAGTACTTCCGGGACCTGCCAGACCCCCTGCTGTGCAGGGATCTGTACCAAGCTTTTGTACAAACGCAACGTAAGTAAAGGGGGAAAGGCCCGGAAGGTCCGAAAAATTCGGTCCCCCCGAATGCATTGAATGGGCGACTCCAGGGGGGGGAATTTGGGGCCCCCCGCGCAGGCATTCGCAACCGGCCGGGCTCCCAAGGGCGGAGGCGCGAGCACCGGTGAGGGGCTCCCGGGGCCCGCGGACCGAGAAAACCCGGGCCTCGCTGTTCGTGCCTCCGGGGCAGGGGGTCCCCCAACGGGGCCCGGCCGACGACAGCGGCGAGGGCGCCGGGAAGCCGCAGGGACAGCATAAACCCTTTGGCCACCCCTGTTCGCAACCCGAGCCTCCCTGAGTGCGGTGTCCGCCCAACCTTCCGGCCGTGGAAACTAGGGCCGTCGGGTGCCGGGAAAAGGGGGCGGCCGGGACTGCCCCAACGTGGCCCCGCGGATGATCGAACAACCCCCAAAATTTTTCCCTTTTCCCATGACCAACTGTGTGGGCTACGAAACTTTTTCTCAACCTTCCCGATCGGGAAAAGATACTTCTAGGGTCGCGGGGGCCTGGGAAAACCGGGCAGGTGGCCCTGGCCCCCAAAGGTCAGCAAAATCAGCAAATGCCCCCGATTCATTACTTTTTCCCCCTTGGTGGAAAACTTTGTGGGTCAAAGCCAAAATTTGTGGTCAAGTCTTCCCGATACAGGGTATGAAAGAGTAGGGTCTTAAGAATACTAGGACGTCGAGGGAGGCCTTTTACGGCGACTAGATTGGACACAGTGGCCACCCAAAGTCAGCAAAATCAGCAAATTTCCGAGATTCGACCACTTTTTGCCCAACTTGGTCGGAAAATCGTTGCGGTCAAAGCCAAAATCGTTGTGGTCAACGTCTTCCCGATACAGGGCATGAAAGAGTAGGGTCTTAAGAATACTAGGACGTCGAGGGAGGCCTTTTACGGCGACTAGATTGGACACAGTGGCCACCCAAAGTCAGCAAAATCAGCAAATTTCCGAGATTCGACCACTTTTTGACCAACTTGGTCGGAAAATCGTTGCGGTCAAAGCCAAAATCGTTGTGGTCAACGTCTTTCCGACACAGGGAATGAAAGAGTGGGGTCTTAAGAATACTAGGACGTCGAGGGAGGCCTTTTACGGCGACTAGATTGGACACAGTGGCCACCCAAAGTCAGCAAAATCAGTAAATTTCCGAGATTCGACCACTTTTTGACCAACTTGGTCGGAAAATCGTTGCGGTCAAAGCCAAAATCTGTCTGCTCAGGTGTCGGCGGAGTTGCTGGACGAGGTGTACATGCACATGATGGACTCCCACCCGCTCGCTCTGGACCAGCTTCTAAGAAGAAGAGCAGCGGAGTAAGTATACTCATGGGTTCTCCAAGGAAGGCTGCACGGCGACGCTTACCGCGCGACGCAGTTGGACTGTCAGTGTGCTTGTCGCGCCACAGGTCGGGGGAGGACGTTGACGTGGAGGCGGAGGACAACCTGGTGGAGAGGAGCGAACGGCGAATGTGGAGTCGCGAGGAGTTCCTGCACGAGCGGTGCGCCACGCCGGCCGACGAGGAGCCAGTCAGGTCCGTTCAACGTTCGTCAAATTCAATCTGGAGCCCAGCCCGGCCATCGAACTACACTAACAAACGGCTTGCGTTTTGCAGCAGAGGCAGTCGGCGCAGTGGCGGCGGCAGAAGACGGTCGCGCGCCGACTCGGCGGGAGACTCGGCGGACAGCGGCACGGCGTCGGGGTCCGGCCAGGGCGTCATCACCGCCTCCCTCAAGATCCCCGTGCCGGGGGTGGCCGCGACGGGCGGCGTGGGTGGGGCCGGCGCGGCCTTCGCGCTCAGCGTGGACGACTCGGACATCCCCTACATCGAGGACACCGTGCAGGACGGGGCGGGCAGTGGGAGGCACCAGGTGACCGTCGGTTAGTAGCTTGCCGCCTACGTGCATGGCCTGCTCCTGCTGCAGTTGGGCCTTCGGCTTCGGCCCCGGGGCTCGCGGGCGCTTTCGCGCTTGCCTCCGCTCCGCCAGGCCGTCGCGTCGCGTCACCGCGCCGCTGTCGGGGGCTGGTCAGGCCGGTCGGGCTGACCGTGGCGTGTGCTTGCAGGACTGGTGCGCGGATCGCTGACGGGCTCCGCGCTCGTCGGGGCAACGCCCTCCAGCCAGAGCCAGCGGCGGCGGCAGCGCTCGGGGAGCGGCAGCGTGGGCAGCGACTCCTCGACGACGGGCACGGGCGCCGCGGTGTCGCAGGGCACGCGGGACTCGGCCGTGGGGTCGTACAGCAGCCCGCCGCGGAACAGCAGCAGTTCCCCGCCCTCGTGGGCGTCCTCGCCGCCGCTCTCGCCCGACCCGCTCGTGCGCAGCGTCAACTACATCCCCGACGTGGTGCCGCAGGACGCGGGGCTGGCCGGCCGGCGCGCCGCCTACTCGCGGACGGCGTCCACGACCTCGGAGCAGCACGTGCAGACCACCACGCTGACGCCGGGCGTCGTGGTGCAGCGCGTCACCTTCACGTCCATCGGGGACGCCAAGGAGGCGGGGGCGGCGCTGGCCGCGGACGCTGCGGGCCAGGCGCCGCTGGCGGGCATCGGCGGTCGCCGCGAGCCCGCCCCCGCCGCCCCCGCCGCCAGCAAGCCCAGCGCCTACCAGCGCATCCTGTCGTCGCTCACGGGCTCCAGCCACTCCTCGAGCCACGCCAGTGCAGCCAGTGCGGCCACCGGTTCCGAGCTCGCCAAGAGCGCCACCACCTCCTTCATCGGCAGCGCCGCCTTCGAGGACCGCGACGTGCGCGACCGCGACTACCGGGAGCAGCGCGACTTCCGGGACGATGTGGTCACGGCCACGACGGTGCGCGAGAGAGATAGGATCATCACGCCCAGCATCTCGTCCATCGGCGGCGCCGTGCTGCGCTCCAAGACGGCGGACATCGAGCGCATGCTGCGAATCAGCCGCACCACCACCACGACGTCGCCGAGCCCCAGCAGCGCCGGCGCGCCGGACGACAAGAAGAAGTACACCAAGCGGAGGTACACGCGGCACATCCCCGAGGCGGACGCGCTGGTCACCTCCGTGGACGGCATGTCGGCCATGTCCCGCTCGCCGTCGGGGGTCGGCCTCGTCGGCGGCCCTCTGCCGCAGGTGGGCGTGGGGGCGGCGGCCGCGGTCCTGGCGGCCGGGCCGAGGGGCTCGACGACGCAGGGCCCCGTGTGGAAGCGGCGGGAACTCATTGCCAGCAACCCCAAGCGACACGATTGAGCCATTTGTGTAGACGGACGGAGGCGCAAAGACTTCTTTTTAAATTTTCGGGCCCCAGTGTTCATGGAGCCCGATGCGGCAGCTTCGTCGTCAAGCTACTTTTACTTCCTTTTTATAAAAGAAAAATGCTGTGAACTATGCGAGTGTAAATATGTGTATCTTTGTAATTTGAAGCCTTGTGTATTATTTCAAAAATGATATTTTCCCTTGAGGTAGCCTTGTTTGGCTCTCACACAATCAGCCCAGACGTGATTTTTGGTCAATATAAAATAAAAGATTTTAAGAGAAAAACTAATGCAACTTTTAGACGTAAGTTTATATCCCACCAACTCAATAGTGAGCGAGTGGATTTCATCAAATGGTTCATCAAAATTCCAACCATTCTACAATGGCTTTAGCATTGCTTTTTTTTTATAAACTAAAAAGATATTAATGGGGTGAAATACAAAACACACACTTCTTTCCCATGAGTTTTTATTCTTACAAAAATGTTTTGGTAGGCAAATAGCAGTATTTCCAAAGTGATAGTTAGACTAAGGATGAAATTCTTAGAAGAGGATACTATGTGCACAAGGGCAAAATGATGTTCACACAAATAAAAACATTACACTAACACTCCATACAAGCCCAATCCCGTAAAAGTAGTAAAACAAACCTGAGTAAGTTCAAACAGACTAGGAATGAGATTCATGACACATTACAATGTTAGGCCGTTATTTTCAGGAATTAGACTTAAGCTTATTTCCATACTTATACATTATCATTAAAATCACAGTAACTCAACCTTGAGGAATAAATATTAATTGGTAATAACATTGCTTAGTGAATTATTAAAATCAATCAGATTTAATTTCAAATGTGCTTCAAATATGAAAAATAGTATTCTGGAAAAGGGAAGAAAGTTTCACATCCAGAGGAAGGCAATTTCAAGACTTGTGGTGTTGGCCTGGGGAATTATTTGCTTCATTATGTTTGTTTCACAAGCAAATTTTCGGCACAGAAAAATAAATAGCAGAGCCAGTGAGTTTCTTCTACAAAATTGACAATTGTTGACAAAAGCCCATAGCTTGAACACGTCACTTAAAATTTGACGAATTAAAAACCTGTGCGGTTTTAGAGAGCAAATGAGAAAATAATAACCCATAGCCACAATTTCTACCAACTTAGTGGTTCCCTGGTTCCCTACAAGTGTCATTCCTGAACTGGCAGAAAATTTTTCTTCAAAAACCACAGTATAATTTGGTGAATAAATACTATTAAAGTTAGAACCAATTATCTTAAATACAAAAGATGATGAGAGGAGGTACAGAACATCCAATTAAAACACCAAGTGCCAAATTATACAAAAAGTGCACTAGCTTACTTTTTTTTTTCGCTTATTTTTGTACATTATATCTGAGGACATTGTAACTAATGCTATGGAATAGAAACTTAATTACATACATATTACAAAGATAGAAAACCACAAATGCTTTTAAGTTAAGTTTTAAGTGAAGCATTAATCAACACTAAGATATGGAACCAAATATCACATTAACATCTTTCATCCTAATCAATCTATCTACTCTCGGAAAAAAGACAAACCAAGGACACTTTTTAGGGTTACTATTGAAAACAAAAGTAATCAAGTTAAGCAATAATCGCATGCTGACATACTAACAAAAAAGACAACTTTAATTGGCCCCACACATTAGCATGAAGCTCAAGTAGAATTATAAGATTATTTTGAACCCAATAAAGTAAAGCAAATGTTTCGCTGCTACAGAGAATAATTCAGAAAGATCATTTCAACATTAAGAATGTTTGTCAATGTAATTGAGCAATCCCTGGAGACGTTTCTGAATTAGTTTCTGGTCATCCACAGAACATGTTAACACAGTTGCTTCAAATGTTTCATCAGTTACATCTTGCTCCACTGAAGAAGAACATGCATTTAAGTAACTCAAGCAAAGTTTTCGTGATCCTGCAGGATCGGCCCGTAGCTGCATAACCAACGAATCAATCATACTATTGACCTGAAACAGATAAAGAAATTTAGATTAAAGAGAAAATTACAATATAAGAAATCAAGGCTAGTGACAGCAACAAGTACAAACACATAAATGACTTACCACATGCAACGATTCTTCTTGTACTTCGTCCCTCTCTATCTTGAGGGGCACCTCCACAGTTAGACACCTTGAAGTCACCCGATCAGCATACCGCAACACATCATCACGATCCTCTGCATCAAAATAGAAGAACAAGATCATTGAATGTAATGTTCCAAGTCAACAGCGCTGGGACAGGGACATTCATCACAACAACGCCACAAGGGACGACAGGAGCCAGGTTTGGGCACCGACACCTACCTTCCTGTAAGTTCTGGAGCATATCTGCCCAGGACGTCCTCATGGAGACGAGGGTCGTGAGGACCTTGTCCTTCTCCTCCTCCAGGCGAAATGCCTCCTGCCGGAGCCGCTCCACACGCAGCTCCATCTTGTCCAGAAGGTCCAGCATGCGCTCCTTGGTGGACTTGTCCGGGCTGCCCGGGGCAGACTCCACCAACACTTGCGGACTCGACTCCAAGCAATCCACCTCCATCTCCATCGTCAGTAGGGGCGAAAAGGAGAGCAACTGTCAGAAAACACTCTTGCCAGGCTAGGTTAACTTGCTGCCCGCCTGTAAACTATTCCCGCATTCAACTGGGATCGACAACACTGCTTTCACAGCGGAAGACGAGCTTTGAACACTCGCGATAGCTATGATTCGACAACAAATCACAACTTTAGCATGAAATTAGGAAGGAAAGTGTAACTTCACTGAGAGACGGAAATTACTCGAAAGCCCAAAGATGGAGCGGTAGTGGGGGGGATCAGGGGGTGGTGGTGGTGGTGGAGGGAGGTGGTGGGGGCGAATGATAAACACGAGACTGCGAATAATGGTCAGCTGGTCGACGAAGAGTTAGGTTATAGTTATACACACCACCGGACAACTTGAAACTGTTTATTTTGATATGGGAAAAAACAAGCACAAAAAAGCTCTCAAGAAAGCGGAAAAACAACGGCGAAATATGGAACTTGAACAACTTGAAAGAGCCAAAGCGCAATTGCTAGAAGAATTGCAAGATGTTGAAGGGCGCCTCCGAATCCCCGGGTAATATAATTTATCGGTTCCAAATCCGGACCATGTCTTTCTTGATTTTCTCACTTGCACTTGTTTCATTTTTGCTGGTTTTTAACACATTATCTTATGGTTTGTTCAGGGATGTTCAGAGTTTTGACCCTGATGTACTCTCCTCCATGATAGGGTACACACTATCAGATTTTAAACTAATTGTTAAAGAGGATAAAAAAATTTACTCTGCATTCTGTTACCCTCTGTTATTCCACATGACAGTAACTTGTAAAGTAAGAAGTAGGGCTTGTGGTACTTCGTGATTTATCTGGGATGCTGATGATGACACATTCTTGTAACATATACTTTTTTTTTTTTTGCAGGAATATACCGTTTTGGATATCAACCTTGTTTATTTCAAAGACTCTCCACTTCATGAGATTAACACATATCTCTTGAGATTTACTCGGGAACTCTGTCCTTCAAGAGTTCTGTTTATAATTCAGCAGTTTGATCAGTTGTTTAAATTTAGGGAAAAAGTATTCACACAGCTGGATGGCAGATGTTTCTGGAGAACAGTGACACAAGAATATGATAATGTACGTTTACCACAATATACTTTATTGTATCTAATAGGTCAGGGACCAAGTAAGACAACTGCTTCTCTTTTGCCTTAGGAATTGGGGCATTCAGACACGGTATGCAACATTGAGGTTTACAAAAAGAATTTTTTGGGAAAAGCTGCGGCTTGTATTTTGGAGATGCAATGGCGATTTTCCTGGAACAAGCCCTGTCAAAGCATGGTTAATCAGTTCATCATTATGCAAGGTATGTTATATATATAACTTCATTTTTCCTTCTAAAAATTTATTTAAAAATAACTTTCTTTTTACTTACTGTCTCTGTGATTCCCCAGCTGTGCTGCATCAAGAGATAGAGACATTCACAAACGCATTACTTTGCACTGTATTTTTTGCTGACGACAGCTTGATGAAAATCTGGTGCAATTTCAATGAGTGGGTTTCTTGTGGGTAGCTTGTGGTGTGTCAAATTTTGTAAGATATGGTGACCAAAGGGGTTAACCAAACACAATTTGTGATAATGTAAATTAATTAAATTTATTAATTTACCATTGAAACGGTATTGTTGGTTTTAATTTTCATAAGGAACATATAGACCTCAGTATTTCATAAAAATTGGCATCAATGCCTCTTAAACAGAAAACAACTACATCGTTTCTTTTCTTACATAGATCTTTTTTCCTTTAAAGTGGCAAGTGGTCATCCGTCACAGAAAGTTAGTTACCACATCTTAGTGTGAAACATAAAAGACTACTTTTATTTTGAGATCACAGATAGCCAATTGCTTCGATGTGTATTGCTTTTCTTCGTTACAAATGCTGCCTCATTCTATAACTGTAGGTCCTGATGGCACCACAGTTAACACAACGGTACAGCATCCGTATTAATGTATCTCAGTTAGTGAATAATTTCAGTCTTTATTGATATAACTCCTTCTGCGAGGTGTCTTAGATGGCCACCGGTCCTGACAGTCGCTCGAGGACGGGGCACTGCTCCAGCTCCGAGCACTCTGCGACGCTGCCCTCCTGGACTGGGACTTCTGGGCTGCCCGCACCGCCCGCACCCGGCGAGTCTTCGCAATTCTCAGAGGTGGGCATGGGGGCGCACTCGGAGGTGGCGTCGCTGTCGGCCTGGAGGTCACCGTCGGCAGGGTCGTCCGGCGTGGAGGGCAGGGTGCGGGGAAGTGAGCCTATCTCCTCGCTGCCCGCCGTGGTCACCTGTTTGACATCACGATTGACACATGTTAGCGGCCGCGTCGCTCTGTCTCCGGGACGACTCATGGGCGAGAGAGAGACGGAGCGCTGTGGCGGTCCTTTAGGCCTTCTGTAGCGAGCGGTCCCCGGCTTCACAGTGTACTGCTGTACAAGCACGTACCGCCGCGCTGCTCGCCGCGGTGTCCTGCTCCACGTCGTCGGGGGTCGTCGGGGCGTCAGGCGCTGCCGTGCTGAGCGACAAGGCTCTGTCCCTGGCGGTGCTGGCGGTCCTGGCGGCAGTGTGCCCGGCCCCGCGGCCCGGCCCTTGCAAGGACACGCTGCGCGCCAGCCGCCTGTGGAGGGGCGTCCAGGGCGGCGCGGGGCGCACCGCGTGCGGCGACACGGCCTCGGACACGGCCTCGGCCTTGCTGTCCGACGTCGCGAGCCGCCAGGCCTCGGCCCTCGCCTCGGTCTTGCGGTCCGCCGGCGCGGCCTGCGTCGTGGGTGAAGCCAAGGGTGAAGCAGGAGCGCAGTGAGAAGGCTATCGGAGAGGGCTGACTATCCGCCTGCTCCGGGAGGTGCTTACCTCTGGCAAGGCCGTCTCGTTGGCACTGGCGGCCTCGGTGACATGCACCCCGCCGTTGGCCGGGGCGGCGGCCTGCTGGGCCTCCGTGGTGTCCAGGGCCGCGGCGGTCGCGGCCGTCCGCCTGCGGCTGGCCTCCTGCATGGCGTGGATGCGGTCGGCCAGGTGCCGGTTGCCCAGCCGCAGGTTGCGTTCCCGCAGCGCCTCGAGCTGCGCGTACAGCCGCTGGAACTCCTCCTGCAACGGGTACTTGAGCACCAGAACCACGCTGTAGAACGAGTGGAACGGCACGCGTGGCGTCGCGGCGCGCTCCTCACCTGCACGTCGGTGGGCACCACGTGCTGGCAGCCCTGCGCGTAGGACTGCGGGTACTGCGCGGGCACGGAGCTGCAGACGGCGCGCGCCCCCGCGCCGCCCAGCCCCGCGCCAGTGCCCGCCGCCTGCGAGACGCACCGCGTGCCGCCCAGGAACTTGGAGGCGGACTGCGCGCTGTCCGAGGACCCGGGCCGGCCCTGGCTGCGGAACACGAGGTAGGCCTGCGACAAGGACACAGTCAGCGTGATATCCGATCATCCCGATGCCAGACTGCGGTCGGTGCTTTCATTTTGCGAGCGATATCACCGACGCGACGACCACGAAAACAAACACCACGGCAGAGCCGATTTCCACGGTCTCTCATCACGCGTCATTGGGACTCTCCGCGCGAAAAAAAAGAAAGTTTTAAAAAATAGTAATATTAAAAGTATGGCCTCTGCATGGAACCGCCTTCCGGTGCTGTCCCGATTTTTCTTTTTCCCGAACTTTCTTTTTTGCCCAACGTTTTGCTGCGGGCGGCCACGCGATGAGAGTGCTCTAGTTATTGCATATGCCAGTCTCATCGCCTCCTCCACGCTCAACCTCTCCCGAACAGCGGAGTCCCGGGGGATGAAAAACGGCAGTAAAAACGAACGCTCTAGCAATTTGCATGAATTTTTAACCAACAATTTTGCACTACACTGCAACACTCCCTCACACACTGCACACTTCTGGTGGATGCGTCGGCCGTGAAGGTCGAGATAGCCGTGTTGTGTGCTAGGCCTGTGCTGTGCCGCTGTCATATCAAGCGAGATCTGTTTGTGAAAAACAACGGCCTGCCGCCCCACGCCGCCACGCGAGGGGTCGTCACTCTACGCATAATGCCTGAACCGGGGGACCCGCCCTCGTTGCCCCTACTGCCCCGCCGGGAACAAAAGAAGCGGATTAATAAGCATTGCCCTGTTGCCCTGTGGCGTAGCTGACTCCCTCGCACCCCAGCGGGGCGCCCCATGAGTGCGAGAGAGACAGAGCGTCGCAGTGCAGGAGAGGGAGGCCGATTACGGCGAGCCCCGCGACACTGCCAACATGGTGAACGTGCACGCACCGCTGCGCCGCGCGCCGCGCGCTCCGACTTAATTTCTCTTTTCCGTGTTTGGAAATATTGGACGACTTTCCGATCGGAAACTGCTTGGCGAGCAGCAGCGCGCTTAATGAAAAATGAGACCTGTCCTCGAAACTCGCGCGCGCCGGATCAAACTTTGGTTCCGACCCGAACCAAACCCGACCGCTCGCTCTTAGCGGTGCGCGGTGCGCGCTCGAGTCCCGAGTCCCAAGTCTCGGCCCAAAGACGATAAAGACACGGCAGCCCGCCTGGCCCTGCCCGAGCAGCTGACTGATTTCGCGAGAGTCATTTCCTTCACTCTGTCTCTCTCGCACTCATGGGGCGTCCCCTTTAGGCGCGAGGGAGACAGAGCGACGGAAACGACTTTCGGAATCAGTCTGCAGGCTGCGCCGCCTCTGCAGCGGTCCGGGCGCGGCGAGTTCGCTTTTTGGCGCGCTTTTTCGCGCGCTTTTTCGCGCGCTTTTTCGCGCGCTTTTTCGCGCGCTTTTTCGCGCCGTGCCGCGCCGTGCCGTGCCGCCACACTGCGTCTTGCCGCACATTATTCCCGCGCTTTAACGCCCAATCTCTCTCCGCGCCGCCGAAATTGTCCCGCCAAGCGGCTCTGCGCGGCGCAGCACCACCACGCCACGGTGCCGTCGAGAGGATATTTGTATTCATCCCCGCCTCAGAATCCCTCCTGCTAAATCCCCCCTGAATATCATCGTACAAGCTGCGCAAGCTGCCAGGCGGAGAAAAGCAGTGGGCGAGAAAAACATCATCAAGAGCGTCGGCAACAACAACATCATCATCGCGCAGGGTGTGTCAGGAGGTCAGCAGGGGCGGGGCTGCGAGACAGGGTGTCTTCAAAGTCTCATACGTGGCGCGCCGCGGCGCGCAGACTCGCAAAGCAGTGCTTCGTCACTCCGTCTCTCTCGCACCCGCACCCGAGGCGCGCTTCCGTAGGGGTGCGAGAGAGACGGAGCGACAGAATCGGCACGTGTTTGAGGCACGCGCGTTCCCGCGGCGCCCGCGTGGGCACGCCTGGAGTTGGGATGGCGGGGGCGGAGCGGCGGAGCGCAGCTCACGTGAGTCTAGTACTCTGAATGCGCGCGCGGATCTCTACTCCCTGGTGCCTGCCAGTGCCTGCGGGAGGTGCCGAAGGGTGTGTGGGTGGGGGGTGGGGGAGAGACAGCGGCGACGCGCTTGCCGCTGCTCCGAATCACCGCGCCGGCAAGAGCCTGGGGAGGGGGGAGGGCTCAAGTGTTTAAAAGGCAGGTGACGGATGATGAAGATTTCTTTGGAGAGGTTTGCCGTATCGAATCCGGAAGGTTCGCAGGTTCGTGGGGTGGGGTGGGGGGGAGTGCCGTCGGAATAAGAGGCACTTGGTAGTCTTGTTCTCGGACGGTCGTCCTGGCCGTAGAGGCCTTGGACGCCGTGGCGTTGGAGGCTGCAGAGGCCTTGGCTCGCCTTGGCGGCCGTAGAGGCCGTGCCGGCCGACCAGGCCGAGGGGAGGCTCGTAATGAGCAGCAGCGGTCCGCCGAGGAATTTGAAGCGAGCGGGGCGCGCGGCGCGACATGCCGATGTCGTCGGAATGCCCGACGGAACGACGGCCAGGGCGGCGACACCGGAAGCACGCCGTCGACCGGGGAATAGGAGGTGGGCCTTGGCGTTCCGGGGGGCGGGGCCAGGATTGCGGCGTGCCTTCGTGGTGGCGGCACGGCCGGGCCCGGCTGCCTGGGTGTAAACCGTAATCCCTGCGTCCCGGCCGTCCCGGCGCTGGCCGCGTGACGGCGCAACTTTGCTCCAGGTTAGGTTAGGCGCGCGCAAGTTTGGCAAGTTTGGCGATTCACAGAGTCGGTTTGGAGGGCCGAGCGGCCCGGCTGGCCCGACCGGCCCACAGGGACCCGGCGATCAACAAGTCTGTCCATCTCGGCCGCGCCACTGTGGGACACGGGCGGCAGCGCGCCCCGTGCTACCCTCTGCGGCACTGATGCCGAGAGTTGTTTTCGTCGCACTTGCCCTGCGAGTGCGAGAGAGACAGAGAGAGGAGGGGGCAGCGCAGGGAGGCGCTCCGCCAGGATGAATCGTCGAGAGAAGCGAATAAGAAGGCACGGCTGGCCGCCTTGAAGCCCTTGATGAGGCTGAGCAGCAGCAACAAGCCTTTCCTCTCTCGCCCCGGCCTGCCTGCCTGCCTGCCCCGCCTGCCCTGCCATCTGGTAATTGTGTTCCATTTTTCGGGCCGGCCGCCTCGGCGCCGCCGTAACCGGATTAAAAATGGGAGTAAACAATTATGATTAGATGCATAAATTATTCCTTTGATTGTGTGCCGGGAGTAACGAGCCGACACTTGGCGGAGGAGGCTCTTCTTTGGCGGAGGGCGGAACGCGCTGCCTTTGACGCGGCAACGCGGGCGAGGAGAAGGAGGCCCGCGTCAACAACTGTCAGCGCGGAGCCAAGGAAAAAGGGGGATGAAGATGAGGCACACAAAGGCTTTCCTGTGGGCCACGCCGCGCCAAGCCAAGCCACGCCACGCCACGGGACGGCCAGAGGTAATGTGGGCCACGTTCGTGTTCGGACACGGCGCCAGCGGGGCTGGCCAGCGAGCCTTAACTAACCGGGGCCACCAGTCAGCCAGCGAGCCAGCCAGCCACCGTACCGGACGATTAGAGCTTAATGCCCGGCTTGGCCGCCCCGCCCCGCCCCGATGAGCAGGCAGAGTAGCCAATTTGGCGCGCCCCCGTCAGCCCCGCCCAGCCATCCACGCCCGGCCATCCACGCCCTATCCCTTGTGTACATCAGCGAGTTTGGCCAGAAACTCGTTAACTCGTCAGCAACATTCGACATGCCCGCCGGGCCGGGCCAAGGGCAGGACCGAGGCGACGCCTGTAGTGGAGCAGCATCTGACAGGCCGCGAGTGTGAGAGTGAGTGAGTGTGAGTGCGTGAGTGAGCGAGCGAGCGAGTGACACTCGAATCTGGAGCACCTGCTGATCAGGACGGCGTCACGGGGGCGTCCGAGTGGTAACGAGCGTTGCAGGCATCAGAGTACAAAACTAATCTACATAATTATTGGGGTAAAAAAGAAAAAGGGCAGACCCCAACATTTTTCCATTTCCCTTCTGGGAGCCGCTGACCGGGAGCGACCCCGAGGAGCTAATGCGGAAGCCGTGTACTAGTCCGTCATGCACGTTATCTGCTCCACCATTCCGGGGCGCGGACGACCGTGTCCACGAGTGACCAGGGCGCGCTAGGGCACCACGCACCTTGCTCCCGAAGATGAGGCCCAGCAGGAGGGTGACGGTGAGCTGGGTGTGGCAGAACAGGATGATGAAGAGCAGGTCCGGGTTGGCCGGGGACTGCAGGAACAACCTGTGGACGCACCAGAACAACGCGCGCTGCTGAGCTGCTTTTATTATTTAAGAGAGTTTCGGTGTCTCGTTCCGAAGCCGCCGCGTCCGTCACGCTACCGCTTTTAATGGAAAGGGTGGGGGGGGGGCGCATCGAACCGGCCGACCCTGCTACGACTCCTCCGCGGCAATAATATTATTTTGCGCGCCGCGCTGCCGTGCAGCGGACCTTGGGACTTGGGGCGTGGTAACCCGTTTTTAAAACCAACAGGGCGCGAGAAACAGCTCGCTGACTTCCGCAAGAAAAAGTTGAAGGCGGAAGGAATAAAAATAATAAAACAGCAACAACGGCGGGTTTGCTTGGAGGGAAATACGCCCGTCGCAAGACGAGATGGCGGAGGAGGAGGAAGAGAGTTGCACTCACATGGAGACGTTGAGGAAGACAGAGAGCAGGAACTCGTTGTAGATGGCCATGGAGATGAAGCGGGCCTCGTTGAACTCGGAGGGCGCCTTGCGCACCACGATGCACAGACGGATGCCCCAGCCGAGGAACACCACCTCCACTGGAGGACAAAAACGTCGTCAAACATGTTTATGTACACTCCGGCGCAGAGAGGCCGGCGTAAAGCACTCGGCAGTTTGGGCACAACGCGCGCTGTGAACGGCACGCCGAGGCTTTGCCGGCTGTGGCAGACTGTACCAAAGGGGGCGGCAGTTTGACAAGCAGCGACACTGCTTCCCTCAAAGTCTGACAAAGAAAACCAACACCATTTCTTTCGAAATGCAAATAATTGTGCGCAAACATATGGAGCTGTTTTTCCTTCATGATGAAAGAAAAGAAAGGAAAGAGAGATGCGTGGTAGAAAAAAAAATTCGTTCACACACAATTTTTTTTTGGACACTATTGTTGACTGACGGCAATTGGGAGTGTACTCACGGGTGGTGAACGAGTGGTCCCACCAGTCCGTGCGGCAGAGGTACGCCTTGAGGCCCTCGGCCGTCTTGCCCTCGATGGCGGTGGGCGGCGCCACCAGCGTGCGGATGGCCAGGAACACGCTGAACACGCCCGCGATCACGCCCACGCGCTTCACCAGGTCCAGGTCCGTGATCTTGACGGCGCGCGCGGACCGCACGCGGAAGATGACGGAGATGCTGCAGATGTCAACAAAAGTCAAAAAGATGTCTCCTCGGTGAGCGACGTCAGTCCAAATTCGGTCCGTTCGGACGCCACTGTGACATCCATTAGACCATCCGGTCTCCTCATGGGCAGGGGCGGATGGGCTGTTGAGGGGGAGGCTGCTCCGGCTCGCCTTCTCCGAGGCCGGCCGGGTGGGGGACGGTGCGTTTCGCAACCAGACACGGCCGGGAAAACAAAATGCTAATTTTCCGCACTCCAGTTCCGGCGAAAATCCCGTGCCGAGTACGTAAATTGCTTCATTCGACATGCATAGCCTCAGCGCGAGGTTTTTTGCCTCCCACTGGCTGGCGCGATACGCACGCCGTGCACCGCGCTGCAGCCAGTGGCGTGCGCAGGAGGGGGGGGGGGGTCATGAACCCCCAATTTGGCAACTAGGCAGCCGCCTGGTAGGTAGGCAAGTTGCGTCACTTTCCCTTGTAAGTAGGCAAAAAGCATTGCCTACACCCCCCCTTTTTTTTCAAAATTTCTGCGCACGCCACTGGCTGCAGCGCGCCCCACCGAGTCTGTTCCGCCGACTTGGAAAGACCCCCGCTCAAAAGCCGAAAAGGAGAAAGAGGGGGGGGGGGAGCCGGAGGGGCGGACAGACGACGTTCCCTCACCGCCACGTCTTGAGCATGAGCGCGCCGTACGTGAGGGAGAAGCCCAGCTCGCGCAGCCACACCCTCAGGGTGCACCACACCACGTTGGGCTGGAAGTACGAGGCGATGGTCTGCAAGCAGAAACGTTTTCGGCAGTGTAGACACAGACAGACACGCAGCAGCGCGCAGCGGCCGTTACAAAGAGCCAGGCGGGCATGTGCCACAGGCCGCAGGCGGCAGTAACACGCAAACGAGGGACAGGTGTCGCCACTCTCACCGTGCAGTACATGAAGAAGGCGCCCAGGGCGATGACCCGCAGCAGGACGGGGCTGGCGGCGCGCACCACCTCGTGGGAGAGAGAGAGGGAGATAATTAATTTCAATCACCGGAGCCTGGACGGTGGCGGAAGCGCCAAAGTTGGTGCCTCGGACTTCGGCCACCTCGGGCCGTCTCGGGCGGGGGACTCGTTCGGGGCAATAATTCAACCCGCTCGCAGCAGACTCATTCCGGGAGGCATATTTTCGTCGCTCCGTCTCTCTCGCTCTCATGGGTCGTCGCCTGTAGGTGCGAGACAGCCAGAGCGAAGAAGCGACCCTCAGTCTGCTGTGGGGTTCAGTAAGGGAGAGGCTCACCTTGACGTGGCCGTACTTGACGGTGAAGAGCGCCACGGCGGGCAGGCAGCAGATGACGGCGGCGGACAGCGCGAGCAGCGCCGTGCGCACGGGCCAGTTGAGGGCGGCCACGCACGGCCGCGCGTCCTCACACCACTCGCAGCCCTGCGCGCACGGCAGGCACTCCAGCGCGCCCGCCTCGGCGTACATCGAGGCGCGGCCCTGCAGAGGAAAAGGGAGGACCGCTCTTAACGGTGGAGCGCCTTCAGTGCCTTGAGCTCCAGAGTCGGTAAATGAGACTCGGACCGAACTTGTGACCCCACCAATGGATTCCTCTCCGAACGAGGAATCCATTGGTGGGGTCACACGTTTGGTTCGAGTCTCATTTAGCGACTCTGGAGCCCAAAGCCTTCATCGGTCTTCTGGCCCACTGTGTGGAGGAGGACCCGCAGTGGGAGCGCCTGCGAAGCACGGGGTAGGCAACCCGGCCGCAGGCGAGGCGTGCGGGTCGGCCTACCCCGTCGTCCGCAGGCGCTAGGTCCACTGCAAACGCGCGCGCGCACGGGACCCGTTTCGAGCTCCACACTCTTCGTCCGAAGCGCTATCCAAAGGTGACTCCAGCGGCGTTCGATTCATCGTTCGATTCATCGTTCCAGCCATCGTCGCGGACTGCGGAGCGGAAAGTCCGCCTGAACGAGCAAGGTCTTGATTCCCTGATCGCCGACTCCGCCTGCGCCGCCAACTTTGCCGTCGCTTTTCGTTCCGTTTCCCTCGCGCCGCCACGGGACGTACGGGACGCGCCGCGAGTGCGAGAGAGACGGAGCGAGCGCACTGTTCGGGCTCGGCCGGTGTCGCGATGAATTAGTCGCCGACATTGTCTACCGGCCGTAAACGGCGAGGAGCGCCGGGGGAATAAATGAACCCTTTGGCTTCGGCGCGCATTGGCTCTGGCTTCGGCTGCTTTGGCGCGACCCGCCGACTTTCCCTGGGAGAGATAAATGGGTCACCCGGAAAACTGCCCCCCCCCCCCGCCTTGCGCCGTCGCAAAAAAGCAAGGTGAAATAAATCAAACAAAAAATAATAGAAAATGACTGCATCGGAAAAGGAGGACGACCGGGCTGCAACCGACCCGCGGGGGACCGGGCCTGTTAATTACGTCGTCGACTCGGCGAGTCGCTCAATTCGCGTGATTAGAAGAGAAATAGACGGCCCGATCCAGCCGACGGCAAAAGGGACAGGACGGGAATCCACTTAAAACCATTTGAAAAAAGAAAGAAACACGCAAGTAAACAACAACAAGAGTTTTAAAACTGAAACTGAGGCAAAACAGTACCTGAATTTGAGAAAAAAGCGTGAGGGTAGGTGATTGCAAATTGGCTCACCAGCGCGAGCTTCTCGTACTCCTCCTCCACGTAGCTGCCGTTGTAGAAGCGCTGGGCCGCCGTGATGTCGGGGAAGTAGAAGCCCCGGCGGCACACGCAGCGGTAGGAGCCGCGCCGGAAGCCCAGCCCCGCCACCGGCTCGCACTGGAACAAGGAGGGCGCGAGTCACAGTCCCCGCCGTCTCTCTGTCTCCCTCGCACCCGCGGGGGACGTCCCATGAGTGCGAGAGAGACGGAACGGCGAAAGTATAACGACTCTCGGAATCAGTCCGGCGTGCCAGGGCGCCAGGGGGCGTCGACTAAGCCGATTGCCGACGTTATAGGACCCGTGCATGAGGTACTCGCTGGGGTAGGGCCCGAGGGTCGACTGTGGCCTGGGTGGTAAAGTCTTAGTACACTGTAAAACAAGAATAAATTCGGTGCAGCATACAGAGTGCCTGCGGAGTGTTAATCCCCCAACCGACAGATCGAAAGGTGTCCACCAGTCCCGTACCGCAGAGACTGAACCTGCCTCCACTGTAGGCGTGGCTCTCCGGGTAGCGTTCTCAGTGCTCAACAAAAATGTATTCTGTCTCCATGTCATAATCTTGCTATTCCATTTTTCTTCCTCCGCCTGTCCCGTCCGTCTCGTTATAAAGGGAAGCGTGGCACCGTGGCGCACGGCTTTCGGTGGCAACTTCTCGCCGCCCTGTTGTCCCCACATCGTTTGTTAAGTTTGCCTCGTTAGGATCGCAATGATAAGGCAACGCGACCCAAAGTGGCGCGAGCGGCTCAGCCTGGGCACCGCCTGGGCACCGCCCCGGATTTGGGGTGGCCGCGGTTTGCCGTCGCTGTTTAACGAAAGCGCACGGAGAACAAATGCCAAAAAAAAAGGGAGCAAGCAAAAAACTTTTCCCACCTTTTTCTTCCTTTGCCTCATCCTCGCCTTTTGTTTTTCAGTCACTCCAATTTCACGACCACGGACGGCGAAAAATTTAAAAAAAGCGACGCGTCGGGGGTTCGTCTGTCCGTCCGTCGAGGTGTTATTTGTCTTTCGCGCTTCTTCCTCTAACTCTCTCTGTCTTTCTCTCATTTATAAATATTTCTTTTTTTCATACCGCGGCGGAGAAGCGCGCGGGGCCGCGAGCTTTCTTTCCAGGCAGCCTTTTAAAAACTCGGGAAGCGAAAGCAGCCTCCTGATTCCGTCGGATCGTTTCGTGGCACTGTCTCTCTCGCACTCCTGCGGGACGCCGGCGGCACGCTAAGAATTTTTTTTTTTAAATGTGCGTTTTGTTTGGACAAAATGTGTTCGACTGTCACCAAGTCGCCGCGGGAGTCCGTCAAGTCGTTCCTGGCCTGCCGGTCCCTGCCGAGATGGAGGATGGAGGGGGTTATACAGCCTCGCGGCGGCTCCTGCCACCGAACCGTTCGGAAAATCGGTTTGTCGCTCTGTCTCTCTCGCGCCCTTCTGGAGAGGCCTGTGAGTGCGACAGAGACGGAGCGACGAAGCGACCGGAGCATCGCCGACGACACGCGCGCGGCAAGTCAGGCCCGGGCCGTGGACGGACAATGCCGCGCCGCCGACAATGCAAGGCGGACACGTTGGGGACCCCCGCGGCGGGAAAAGGGAAAGAGGAAGGGGGCGGGTCAATTATTCGGGGACAGGCCGAACCGGAGGGCCGCGCAGAAAGGCAGCGCCCGGCCGGAGATAAATATCCGATGGCGGTTTTCTATCTCCGGCCTCAAGTGAAGAGGGGTGGCTTTAATGGCCTTGACAGAGATTCAACCAGCGGGTAAATCGCTCTCTCATTTTCGCGCGCCGGGCTTCCCCCACCCGACTTTCCATCTCTGTCTCTGGCTCCGGAGCCTCGGCCCCCACGACCTCGCCCGGGGAAGGCACGCCCCGCTACGCCCCGCCAGTCGAACCCGGAGGCCCGGAGGGAGTCCAAGGGGAGTCGGACTCCATTACGGTGGAGATTAGGCAGCCGGCTGATTCCGTACAGTGCCGTTGCCCGGCCCGCCGGGTGCGAGAGAGACAGAGAGACTGTTCGGAGTCAGCCGGCTGGGCAGCGCCGCCCTGGTGGCCGCCCGACGGACCGGCGCGTCGACTCCAATTGGCGCCAAGTGACACGCCCATCAACGAGTTTTAATTGCGAGATGGCCTCCGCGACGTTCCCCGCGATCGCCTCCGAGGCAGCCACTAGGGCGGCCCCTAGGGTGGCCTCCAGGACGGCCTCCAGGACGGCCTGTGGAACGGCCACTAGGATGGCCTAGCACGGCCTCTAGGACGGCATCCTGGACGGACTCTAAGACGGCCTGTAGAAAGGCCTCCAGAACGGCCTCCAGTGGGCCTTCCGGCACTGCCACGCAACGGCTTACCAAGTTGTGCAGCACACCGGTGGCCCCGGCGGCCGACAACTGTCGCTGCGTCGCGCACTTGTTGGAGGCGGTCCGCGCGGCTCTCCAGATGACAGCGGACGCGGGTCGCTTTGCAAACAGAGTCTTGAAAGCACTTCTGGGAGGCGGGGTGGGACGCCAGGCCGACGCGCGGGCTACCGCGGAGGCCGACGGCCTGCCTGCCCGACGCAACGCTCCGAGCCACGCCCCCACCAAGGCCCGCGCCAAGGCCCGGCTCGCGCCAGGCTTACGGCGTGGAGCATCGGGCCCTCCAGGAAGGGGTGCAGGGCGGCGCGGCGGAGCGGAGAGGGGCTTGACTCTCATTAAATCGACTCATTTTCGGGGCGGCCGGCCCCGCGGCGACATGGCCCTGGGACGCCCTGGGGCCTCCAAGTTGTCGCAACGAAGCGCTCGCCGTTCGCATTCATCACTTTTCTTCTTATTTCGGCCGCCCTTTTATTATTTCCACGTCGCCGGCCGAGGTCTTCTTGGCCTTCGCGGCGCCGCGGGCGTGGCGTTGCGCGGCGTGGCGTGGCGTGCCGCAGGATCCCTCCGCTATTTGTTTGGAGAAGGTTCATTCCCAGTCGGATCCGGACCACCATTCGCTGCACCTGCTGGGGCTGAGGGGATACGAGGAAAAACGGACGCGTAGCGAGGACGGCCGGACCGGGGCCGGCGGAAACTTCCCCCGGATAGACCGGTGGCGGTGGCGCTTGAAAAGCGGGGGGAATATTGGGGGGAGGGGGAGGGGAGCTCGCCAATCTAAACCCTCGGAAAGTACCCGCCCCGCCCCGCCCCGCCCCGCCCCGAGAAAAGAGGGCGGCCGCCCAGAATCTCGTACCTGAGTGGTCCTCTTCTTGCACTTGTCCGAGGCGGCGAAGATGTTGAGCTGCGTGGAGCCGGGCGGCAGCGGGCACTGGTCGATGTCCACGCGCCGCAGGTCGATGTCGATGCCGCTGGTGCCCCTGCAGCCCAACAAAAGGCCCAATCAACCAGTGGGTAGCAACGTGCGCGCCTGTGTGAGTGTGTGTGTGTGTGTGAGAGAGAGAGAGAGAGAGTGTGATGTGAGAGCTGACAATGACACACGTGTGCGTATTCTGGCCCGCCCGTCTCCCCTTCGTCTGTCTCGCTCCATCCCTCACTTGAAGTGGTAGGTGCCGTTGGCGAAGCCGAAGAAGGGCACGGTGTAGGTGAGCATCCAGATGTTGCCGCCGCCGCAGTCGTAGTACGGCTTGCTCCACTTGCCGTCCTCGTAGGTGACGCTCAGGATCTCGTCCGGGAAGCGCTCCGTGTGCGTCGTCCAGTTGAACGTGTACGTGTGGTAGCCTGCAACAGCGAGAAAGGAAATTGCAAAATTACAGAAAACGAATAAAGAGAGAGCACCAGGTCAGCAGCGCGACGTTGCCACGGGCGTTGGGTCTCCGGCTCGCCCTCTAGACCGCGTGGAACGCCATCGAGCGCGACGGCGTGGCGGCACGGCAGAGCGGCAGCGCGCCTGACTCGCTTTTCATCTCTGATCGGATCTACCGCCACGCTCGCGGCCAGGCATTGCCGCGCCACCGTCGGTTCCAGGAAACCTGGACAGTTTGGACCGGCAGCACCACGAGTCCACGGTGGAGGCCACTCGCGGGGCACAGCACCCTCCACGACCAAGTGAAAATGACGCACTGCTAAAAACCCGTCAAATACACTTTTCAAACATCTCCACATCCCGTGAGTACTTCGGAAGTTTAACGTGTAACTGAACGTTGCCTCTGGTCGGCATGGCGAGTCCCGGCACGGCGCGAGGCGTCCGCAAAAACCGTGGACATTATAACCAGGGCGAACAAACTAATTACTCAAGTCGGGTTAAAAACTTGCCAACGCGGCCCCCACTTTTTCCCTCGGCCTGCCCACCCCCGCTGCGTCTCGCTGCAACGCGTCGTCTCCTCGTCTCGTCCCGGCGCGTGTTGAGAGTTTGTTAGTTCGACGGCGAGCCGCGGCGGCGGTGCTGCTACTGGTGTACCGTTAGTTCGCACACGCCGCGCAGTCTGCCCGTAGTCGGCGTTGTCGGCCAGTGCGAATTTCACTTTGTTTGTAGTTGCAAAAAGGGAGGGAGCCGCACTCAGGCACTCGCGCGCTCTCTCTCTCGCACACAACGTACTCACAGTGTACACACCGCGCGCGTGCGTTGGCTGCCCAAAGGTTGCAGAGGGTCGCACTCTCCGTCCGCGCCGCTCGAAATAAAGCCTGCGCGTCGAGGGGTCAGGAGGAGGGGGAAAGGGCGTGGAGGATCAAGCGTGAAATATGCATTTCAAAGCGCGGTCGGTCGCCGAAAGCATTTCGAGCATTTCAAGCGGCGCTGGCGGGCCGTCGGTCTGTCCGGTCCAGGCTCCGTGCGCCCTGCCGGCCTGCATCCCGACGAGCTTCGCGGCGCGCGGCTCATCCAGAGGGGCGCCAAGTGGTGTCCGCCCGCACCCCGCCCCACCCCGCCCTCCCGCAGCAGTCGCTCGCTCGGTTGGCCACCGACTGCGGCCGGGGGCGGCGGGGGCGGCGGCGTCCTCATGGGGGCGGGCAGGGTCGGCCCCGCTGTTCGAGCACCGCGCCGTGCCGAGCTTCTTGTCCACCTTGCCGATTAGCGTTCCGGGGTCGCCGCGGAGTCGAGGGGGTCGCGGTGCTCCACTGGCAAGAAGGGACCGCAATCCGCGTCAAGGGGACTGACGTGACCGAAGGCAAAAGGACCTGGCCCTGGCGGTCCGCACAGCAGTGCCACGCAGCCCGAAGGTGGCCGTCGCCGACTATCGTCCTGCCAGTTTCAAAAGTTTGTGGTCTTTTTATGTTTTGTGCGCGGTCTGCAACAACGCGGGGTTGCACCGGACAGGGCGACGTGCTCTACACGCTCCCATGCACACCGCGCGCGTCAAGGGGCCTGTGAGGGTCGCCTCCACATCGCTGAGCTGATGCATGGGGCCAGCGTTACCACCTGACTTCACCTGCTCATTCTCCCCCCACACACAAACACACACACACATACACACACGGTGCAACCTTGTTGCCGGGAATGGCGGGGGGTGCGCCCGTGGTTCTCTGTTCCCCTGTAGGTCGAGAGTCATGAGTCACCGCCCGCGGAAGGTGGCACACACTTTACAGGTCTATTTTACTCCCGCCGCAAAAAAGGACGTAATTTGCGATGCGGACATGCAGCAATACGTCGGCGACGCTGCATAGCGCGAGATGAAGAGCGCCCTCGTGACCGCGCCCCCTGCGCCCCCTGCGCCCCGGCCTGACGGCCCGCGCTAATCCCTCACCGCTGTCGCCTCTGTCGCTCTGCTGCTCCGCCGCACTCCCCGCCCACAGCGGCCATCACTCACACCTAAAGATTGCTACTTGCCCCACATGTCTTTGACGCCATAAATTTTCTCCCCCATCCCCCCTCCTCGTTATGTCTTTCTCTCTCTCTCCCTCGCTCCGCCCACGCACACACCTTCTCTGCGCTGGGAGCTGCGCTTGCCTGCGCAACTTTGCACGCAATCAGCAGGGAGGCGTGCATAGCGGCGCGACGGAACACAGCGGGCTGAGTCCCCACGGGTGCTCTGTCTCGCTCGCTCTCGTGGGGCGTCCCATAAACGTGCGAGAGAGACGGAGCGACGAAGCAGGGGGCGGAATCACCCTGCAGGGCCAACGCGCTGCTTTGACATTCTCGAGCCTGCCATGGCCTGCCACCTCTGTGTGCGTCCGTCCCTCCGAGTCCCCGCAGAAGACTGTTGCAGAAAGTCCCCTCTCTCTCTCAGTCACATTCATAGGGCGTCCCGTATAGGAACGAGAGAGACAGAGCGACGACCACGGCTCCCGGGAGCGTTGGCACACGGACCCCGTTGCGCCCCGAGCTGCTCCCCGCTTGCAGCTGGTGTCCTTCCGCCTTTCGATAGCAGCGCGCTCCGCTCCAGACTCATTCCGAGAGTCTTCTCTGTCGCACATATGAGGGACGCGCCATGAGTGCGAGAGAGACAGAGCGACTAGACTCTCGGAACCAGTCCGCAGGCTCACGAACGAATGAACCGGTGACTGCGTGCTGCCGTGCCGTGAGACGGTTCTCCCTCCAGCGAGGCAGAGCGACGTCTCGCATCAGCAGACTGATTCCGAGAGTCGTTTTCGTCACGCTGTCCCTCTCGCACTCACGGGGCGTCCCATTTACGTGCGAGAGAGAGAGACGACTCTCGGTGTCACTCTGCAGGAAGGCCATACGCAGCAATAAGCCGACTAATAACCCGTCGAAAAGCAATCACCGCGTGGAAGTGCTTCCGGGAGGGCGACCCTGGTTCGGCCTCCAGCCTCCGGGCCGTGCGTGCTTTGCGTTTCGTTCGTCCCAACCCGAACTCGCTCCAATTCGCAGCGCCCCTTTTCCATTCACTTCCATTCGGAATGCCCCCGTGCCCGGCCGGAGAAATGACCCACGTATCGGCGTCGCGTCGGTCCCGTGATGATGCCTCTGAAAAGCCGAACTCGACCGATCGACATCGACACATCGATTCAACCGTCAATTCAATCCCTCGCCGGGGCTGTGAGAAGCCCAACCCGTGTCTGATCAGCGGTCATCCGTCTCGGTGAACTGGAGCGCGCTTCGGACAAGGTCGATGTGACTGAAAATTGCGCACTGTATATTCAGTCAGAGCGGCCAGACTTGACCGGGGCGTTGCGACGTTACGCTTCGGGCTGCTAACCCGTTTAGCCGCACCGTCTGGCCGCGGCCCTGCGCAAGGCTCGCAAGGCAGAGCGGGGCACTGTAGGGCCGGTATTCAATGTTGATGGCCCGGGGTGAAGTGGCCGGCCTGGCCGGACGGACCGAACTGGCCGGGGAGGGACGAGTCCAAATGCGACAAAGTCGACAAAGTGGGGTCAGGGAGGCAAAGTACAGACAGCTGAGTCCTGCGCGGGGCGGGGCGGGGCGGGGCGGGGCGGGGGGGGGGGGGGGGTGGGCGCACCCTCATTGTACACACTGGCGCCCCAGCGAGGGCTCTTTCACAGGGCCTCACCGCCCGGCCGAGCCCTGCCTGACGCATTAGCCCTGCACATAACGAGAGGGAGAGAGAGGGACGGGGCCCCGGGGACAATGGCTGGGCAGCACCGGGCGCGCCAGGCAGGCAGCGCGGTGGCCGCCCGCTGGGCCTGCTGGACCTCCCCGGCGTCCAGCAGGTGGTGGACGAGCGCCCATCCGCCGTGCCCCGCCGTCGCCGAGTCGTTCCCGAACAAAGTCGAGCAATGCCAAGCCAAGGCCTTCGGGCTCGGGGCCGGCCGCCTCGGGGCTCAAGGCCGCGCGTCGTAGTTCGTGATTGTCGAGGTGTCCCGGGGCGAGGCTGGGCTGGGCTTGGCTGCCGCCCGCTGCCGCCGGCTGAGCTGACGCCGCACCCACTCAACATTTATTGGGTTCAGGGTGGTTCAGAGTGACGCGAGGCCGCGAGAGCGCCCCGCCCCGCCCCGCCCCGCCCCGCCCCGCCCCGCCCCGCGCGCTCAAAGCCAAGTCGTTTCCGTTAGCAAAGCCGGCGCGGCGGCGCGGCGCTGCACGGCTACGACCAAATCCGATACACGGACATGGCGAATCGGCCCGGCAGCCCGGTGCTTTGCATCTGCGGGGCCCCGAGCGCACGCCCACGCCCCCAGGTGCTAGCGACGATAAGGAAACCAGCCACTTTCTCATTTATGTTATTTTATTTCCCCCGCCCTCCTTCTTTTTGCTGTGGAACTTGGGACGGGGAGTTCCAGTGCGAGCGTGGGTCGTGCTTAATTTTACGTTGGGGCTGATTTTAGCCTGAATCTTGCTATTTTCAGAGACGTAACAAGAAGTGCATACAACACGTCATAGAGTACCGTTCCGAAGAGTCGTCCCGCAGCGCTGTCACTGTTGCACTCATAGCGCTCTCCGTGAGGGTGTGAGAGAGACAGGCCGCTCCTCTGAATAGCTCGTCTGGTTGGCACTGGCTTGCATGGCGCGCGTGCTCGGCGAGTCACCGCGCGGATCGAGTAGCCTCGCGCAGGGTGTGTGCACAGCCCGGCACAGCCCGGCACAGCCCGCCTGCCGCCAGGCCGGCACGCCCAAAGGGCACGCCCCCGCTTCGGCCGCTTCCACGCCGGCACGCCCTGCCCTTCCCGCGGTGCGCGTTCCCCCTCCAGGCCCTCCAGGCCCTCCAGGGCAGCCCTCGCCTTCGGGAAGCGCGCGGGCAGCGACACCCGTCCGGGTACCAGGCCGGCAGCACCCCGAGCAGGCCGTCGTCATGCTGATGAGGGCTGCCCGGCCCGCCCAACATCGGCCATGCCCCGCACGTCGTGCGACACGGGCTGTATAGACTGAT